TCTAGGACATTCCAGTTGGAACGAAGTGAACAACGGAACAAATGACGCTGCTGAAGACGTGTCACCTGAAAAAGCTACTGTCAAAAAAGAAACTATACTCGGTTTTGAGAAGGGAAACAGTGAAGCCCTTGATGAAGTCACTACCACTGATGTGACTATTACCGATAATAGGACATTTTCTGATGGAGCAGATGAACTTTATGTGAAGCAGAAGCCAACGAGATGGAGACCAGTACAGAAGAAGATAAGTCCCGTAAAATTTCGTGTTTGTAAATTATGTACATTTAATTAAGTTATTGTTAATTATCTATTGGTTTAATGTAAGTGGCTATTGTTCGCGATACTAAGGAAGGGGCAGTGTTAAGACAGCGGAAGTCACGTGACGCTGGAAGCATGCACGCTGGAGTTTCTAGAAGGATAATGACTCTTCCAGTCAACTCTAGTCTTTTCTTGGCGCCCTCTATTTTAGTATGTAAGCCCGGCACATAAAGCGGAGATAATAATGGCAGATAGAGAGATATAGAGACAGATAATTGAGTCAAGTGAGCGGTAGTGACGGTAAGTAAAGTGCGTGAATCATTGTGAATTATAGCATGTGATTAATTTAAAGTGACTATGGAAATTAAATGTATTGCAAAGTTGTATTGAGAAAGAATAAACTAGTTTTATTTAAGAAAGGACTTGTATCGCTGAAGTTTTTCGGAAAGAATTTTTATGGGAAATTAACAAATAGCCAGAGATGTAACAATGGAAATGACATAGGTCTTGGACAACACTTAATAGTTCTTTCTTAATACTACAATACCTCCTTTTTGCTACATTCATTGCCTTGGTAAAGTAAGCAATCATACATATTTTTCCATTACAACGCTACTAGCATCTGTATCTAAAGTGAGTGAATCTTCAATATATGGATACACCAATACAGGAATAGTAGTTATTATTTCTTCAGTTTATTGAATACTTGTTCATAATCAGTAATCTAACAAAGGGTATTTCATTTTTCAAGTAAATGTGTAGAGGACGAGAAATATATCTCAGATGAGTTTCCTGTTGATGAAACAATTCACAATTCCCGGGGATCAAACTTTATATTCTTTTTCCTCAAATATCCAGACCTTTCCTTAGTCAGTCATAAGCATTACCAGAGGTCTCCCCATGTACAGTTATATCATTCAAGTAGATGAATCCAATGATCCAGGGTACACTCCTTTAGTCATTAAAATGTAGTAAGTAACATTACATAACCCATATGTTAACACAGTGAATTGCCATAATCCTTTTCCTTTAGTAAAGGATTCGCCAACTTGCACTTGACAGTATTTACTTTTGAGACCCAGTGTTGAAAACCAGAGAGAGTATCCAACTTGAATCAATCCCTGGCAATAGATATATGGTTCTTTACGACTTCATTCGCGTTTTCAAGATCCACAAAATGTGGATCCACCTTTCTTATTTGCAAGTTGAACAGATGATTCCCAAAACTAGAATTCGACTCCATCACTCTTTCTTACTTCCTGGCATCTTTTTCCTTGAAAGCCTCATCCTGTTTTCCAAAATGAGGTCGTCTGGTTAACTAACATATTTGGACTGCTTTTCCAGTATCAATCTTATAAGATATTTTATTTGTTTGGCCTAAGTCATAAAGTCCACTGGAGAAGGTATCTTGACATTCCTTTAGAAAGTCATATACTCTGTGGCATTAAACAGCTGTAAAAACTCCACAGTTTCAGTTATACAGCTGTTGTAAGAAGGTTGGTAACCTTTCCTTATGTAAAGATTTGACATCAAATTTCCTACATCTTGCTTTGAAGGTAACCAAGTTTTATGTTCTTTGGTGTGGAAGTTCTTCCTGTACAGCTTCACAATTTACAATGTCATATTCAAACATGACTCGAATCTTATTGTTTCATGTGTTCATGGTACTAATGGTAACATTTTTATTTTCACGATCAACTATGGTTCTTCCAACCATTAATCCTTCAGGACACACTGAAGTGTTTGGTTCTACTACAGTACAATCACTAGATGTACATTTAGAGTTTTTATCCCATACAATATTTTATCTGCA